TAGATAACTTAAATTTAAATCACTGCCATTAAGTCGTTGATAGTCGTTAGGTTAGGTCCGGAGTAAACTTTTAAAACATCTCTTACGTATTGACAAGGAGTATCCGTGTTGAGATAATTGAACCCCGAATAATTTTGATAAATTTATGATACGACAATAATGAAGTTTTCTTGTTCTGTCTCCAAATAATAATGGTGGTCAAACCGGTCAAATCAAATACTCAAATGGTAATAATGGTGGTCATATAATTCTTCATCACATACTTTTACATTGTATATTAAAGTTTGTTGGGATTTTGTTTTGAATCCGTTTTTGTGAGAAATATTTTTGAAGTCAATATTATTTTTATACGTAAGCTTCCCTTGTTTTATACTTTATTTATGTACTGATACTCCAGGATTAATTTTTCAAAATTTTCTCCATCATTTAGCGTAGTGGAGAAATTTAAAATAGAAACATCATAGCTGTTTTCTACTTAGGTGTAACTCGATCCTATTCAAAAATTATTAATGGGATTAACAAGTTTTGCCAAGATGCTGTATTTTAAATATTTTTCGTCAGTATTTTTGTACATTTATTGTTGCTTTTTTGCTTTCTAATCATGCAGGTAGTGGTATAAACGAAGTACCTCCCAGGAGATAGAATCCCCCATAGATTCGATGGGGGCGTGTATATTGAGGTACGATGAGATTGAAGAAGGATGAGATGGTGAGGTTCTTGAATCGGCTATTTTATCCTACTGATGTTTCAAGTTTGAACGGTTGAGAGGTTTCAAAGAAATTAATTGAAGCCATTGTAGAAATTAGTAAAATCATTGATCTATTATTAAACACAAATAGGCCGCTTGTGATGAACAATGAACATAATAAAAAACATAGCAAAGTCGCTGATCAAGAAACATGCCCGCTTTGTAAAAGTAAATTTAATAGTAGCAACTTACCCGTGTGATATCACGATCACTTGACCGGAAAGGGCAGACAAACGGTATGTAATCAGTGCAACCTAAAATTGCAGCGCATTATTTTGTATAATGTTTTTAAGTTATAAATTACTTGTGACATTTAAAAGTTTTATTCATTAGGTAACAGAGTTGAGGACATACTTGAGCACCTTGGTGGCGAATGTATAACCTCGAGTTCAATGAATAACTGTAATCTGTAAATAATATGGAACATAAAAGATGAGTACCGTATAATGGTTTTTTAACATTATGAATAATAAATTTTTAAAGTCTAACAATTGTCTTGACATTGAGGGCATCACGTAAACCATGGATATATTTTCCTTAATACTTTATGTGTGGTTCAACCTCACCCATTAAAAATGTCATGAATATAATTTTTATTTTTATTTATTATAAAAAGTAGAATATCTTAAGAATTTAGAAGTATGATGCACAATATCAATATTATTTGATATTTTTATTCCAGCAAATTGATATCAGTGGTCTGTGATTTTCCATAGGTCCTATAATATGCTTTTTTATCAGCTTCCACGGCAGCCATCCCTAAACTTTGATTGGAAACCAAAGTTTTGGTGTTGGTTTTCAACATTTATCAAAATAATGAGAACTGTTGCATAAGTGGTTAAAATCGAATCGTGGAGGCTATCAAATTGACGTACAGCAACGGTACCCACATTTCCCTTGTTTAAATATTAGTTTATGATTATCAGTGGATATATTTAAATTATTTGTATTCAATATATCTTAGTGAGAATTAGATCAGTCCATTTTCACCCCACGGACTTTCTTCCTGGCGGAAAAAAAGATGAATAAAAATGTAGTGCCAATCAAGTCACTTGCATAGCTTTATTATTTGTTAAATAAGTGTTAATAGTGTAAGTATAAATCAATACATTTTATACTATCTATATTATCTATATAATTATGTTCAGTTAATTATTCAATGTAGGTTAAAATCGAAACCACCTCCCTTCGTATATTTTTCTAGATACAGCAGTCTTGATATACATAACCTATGAATGGGCGTAAATAACCATCAAAACCGTAATAATACATTGGATGTTTGGATTGTGCCCAAATAATGTAGGTAAAATAATAATCTAATATGGCAAAACACAAATTCCTGTGCACAACGTTCATGTGTCCGGACAGATAATGTAGCAATCCCCAATCGATCGTTGTGGCATTGCGGATATAGCTATACTAGTGGTCGGTGGAGGAGAATTACGGGCCAGAGTTGGCGGAAAACCCGATTTATATTTTGTTTTTTTTCCCCCTACCCAAATCGTATAGTCACACATAATATTAAATACCTTAATACCTACACACATACACATATATATATGTATATTATAAATGTATAATGTAAGTATGAATACCGTCCGCGTATACTTATGTGGTCTAGATTATAAGAGTACATAATATATATGTATAGGTGGTACGTATCAACCTACATAATATGTGTATAAACAGTCCGACGAGAGAAAAAATAAATAAATACATTTTCACGTGAATCGATTGCATTGAATACATACATATTATGTGTGTATCGGGAAGAGCAATCTGTCGATATGTTTGCTCTGGTGATACGAATGGAGGGAGGTTGGGGTTTATGAGGCGATCGAATTCGCGATAGCTATACACACAACACACACTCACAAATACGTATTATTGTAAGCACACTACGTTATATTTTATTTATATATATAATTTTAAGGAAATGCGATACGCGTCCCGACCAAACCGCTCTCCCACGACTTACGAGTTACAAGTTACAACCGCACGTTTTTCTCGCGTACCAATTTACTACGCACTGCGTATATATAAATGAATTATTGGTGTATGCAACCTAACGTCATATGGAGACCATATATTATATCATATAAAATAAAATATATACATTTATATATTATATATATATGTATTATGTAACCTGTTACCTGGTATAATTTGTCGTATTTACGGTTGGTGACGAAGGAGATATATCTGTCCAGCCCACTTAGCCTCTTTTTTTTTGTTTCCAGTTGATCCTTACAAAATTCAAATGTTAGATGAGACTTCATGATCTTTCTTCACGTTTTAGACATAAAATACTACTATACGATCACATTTAGTTGTATTCGATATTAACATTAAGTACAAATATAAACATGATACAACAATTTATTTGGAAAACATTTTTTAAATCCTTGTAATGCACAAAATGCAATTTCTTATTTGGATTCTCAGTATTTATTTCAAAATTTATTGGTATGTAAACTACTTGGCTAATTTTAACTACATACAATACCTATGCATAATATATAACTGTTATAATTCCAGAACGATTTGAATGACCCAATCCTTTCAATTCAGTAGTGGATCTCACACCCGGGCAACCTGGACATGTCCCCCTTGACGGAAATAATTCAGTTAACATTAGATTCAATAAATAAATAAATGGGTATTAAAATAGCTGTGCTATACTCTGTTTGGCGAGAGAACACGCCGGTTTCATGACGACAATAAGTGACCGACGCCGCTGCTAGTTTCGATGCCGGTGTCTGTCACATCCTGACACCTGGCGACGACACACGATTACTCGCCGAACAGAGTATACAATAAACCATATTATTAAAAGTTATACATAATACAGAATTTCATGATATTATAGAAGTGAGCTTAAAATACCAAAACTGGTAACTTTCAACGTCGTCGGACGTCGGCGACTATCGAGTATCGACCCATGTAATTGTTATTATTTTTGCCATTTATATTTCTTTTATTGAGAGGAACATCATAGAAGTCTGAAGAACACATCTTTAATTAAATTAGTATTTTTATAATAATAATTATTATATTATTTATATTCGTTGTATAATTCTTGTATATGTATGATATTGTATAACTGTATAAGAAAAATAGTTTTTAGTTTGACTTAGCAGTAATTGTAAGTAGAATTACTAATAGTCCTGGATATAATGAAATTTATGAGAAAATTTGCACACTATGTTCCAATTGACAATTGTAGATATAAATAATTTCTCTCTTTTCCGATTTTAGTATTTCAATTTCCCTTTGCATTGCTATCATAAATTCGATGATAAAATAAATATATGACATTTCTATTGCCCCAACATTTTTCCAAAGCCATATTTCATGGTTAAATGTCCAAAAACATTTCAATATATAGCTGTTTGATTTTAATTGAAACACAAAGACACATAAGCTAGTATCATTTTATAAAAAAATACCTAAAATTATTCAACTCGTACCAACCCATAAGTGTAATGACATTATCATTTTGTACACTTTTGTAAATTATGGAAAACCTATATTACAACAACAAGGATCTTTGTCTGGTATTGAATTATTTTATATCGGTCAGTAAAACTCTAGTTTCTACTTGTAACGGCGGAAATATGTCACATTATTGTGATGACAATATTATTCTTTCGAGTTCTATTTAACATCGCCAACACATAATAACAGTTTCAGTAGTTTTTAGAGTTTTATTTTTATAATTTTAATTTGCTGAATATGTGAAAATATTTTTTATTACTGATGGCGGAAGTAAATTTCCAAAGACGATTTATATTTGATCAAGTACTACAGGTTAGAAAGTGGATTCTCAGAAAACCTAATGATCAAAAACTAAAACCTTACTAATGAATCACTGATTTCGAAAAGAAATCTAACATTAAACCTAATTTACTGATACGAATAAGACGATCAACAATATTATTACATATATTATGATGATCGATAACTATCATCATATTCGTCATGTGTTATAGTATTCATTTTTCCATTCAAAATGTCTTATGTTAAAATTAGATAAATCATTTATTAAAAGACTAAACTGTCACCCATAATTATACAGCATTGTATTAGTTGTATTATAATTAATTTTTAGTTAATGTATTGTCATAGGTGATAATGTTTACATTTCTATATTATAATATTTTACATTGTTTATTTTATAACAATCAGTAACAGAGCTCAGTTATTATAAATTAAGTCTATAAAATATTTAACTACTTAACAAAAGGTTAAAATGAGTGAAGGCCAGGAAAATATTAAATACTTAATACAAAGGCCGAAGACACCAGTGGTCAAACCACCGATGCACCGTTCAGTCTTTAACAAATCGATTAAGAGGGAATTCAAATCGAATAGGGGTTGTCACCAAACGATGGGCTATGCTGAAGTTAAGCCCAATCAACCATCAAAGTTTTTAAAAAAACATACCAGAAAAGTGATAAGACCATTTGTCGGTATGATTGAAAAATAAAAATAATTCTACGTGGACTGTGTCATTTATGCCTCAAAAATTTCCCAAATAAACACTAAAGAAATTTCTTTTAGATAGAAAATACTTAAAATTATGAATTATTTAAGATTATTCTCACTTACTTTCATGACTTTTTAAGATAAATAGGTACATATATTTCATTTTACACATACCTACTAAGAGTCTTAAAAATAATCATTTTAGTATATAATTGGTCAACATTTCATCATTTTGGCTAAATTTGAATAATACTCACTAAAATTTTAGACATCAGATATCAAATCACATCATTTATGTCGCTATAAAAATACACTTTTGAAATAATGGTCAACTTCATTATTATATTTTATTTATCAGCTAATGAATGCAATTTCATTAAATAGGTACAAAAAAAAACATTACTATTCCCGGGTCTTCAAATGCTTTAAATCCAGTGTATCCCAGTCGACGGTGTCGTAAACCAGAGAGAAAAACCGAAGAAAAAACTAAATTAATCAAGAGAAATTTCCTACATGAAAACATTGTTGATGTGATAAGGAAGGTGCCTCCATTGCCTAAGCATCGGGTGCAGGACAGTAGGAAAGGACATACAATGGTTTTAGATGAGGCTGGCCTAGAGCCGACATACGTGTCTAAGAAGGTACTTAAACGACTCAAAGTATTTATCTATTTTTAAATCAAACATTTTCAACTTACTTTTATGACACTATGGTATTAGAATATTAAGTCCATAAAAAAAAGATGATTTCGTTGTGTTTAAAGAATTTTGGCAAAACACCTTCGTACATTAAGAAAATAATCAAGAACAAGGAAACGGAAAAACTTACTGAGGTCGAACGTATACGGACGATCAAGCCACCGTTGCGTTTTTTGCCACTAGATGAGCGCAACAAGTTATTAACAGTGAGTAGTTTTAAATATTATTTTAACCTTTCTCTATGACTTTTCAGCATGTCAACTTTTTTTATGACAGTATTTTTCTTTTTAACAGGGAATGAAGGCCAATTGGGGTGAATTGTATACAGAATTTTTATTATTGCCGATGGTCACAGATTCAGTGCCAAAAATAAATCGCAAAGCCCGGCTCGAAAATCAATTAAATAATTTAGAAAAGGATATTAACATACTGGAAAAGTACCCATCCTTATATGTGTGTGATGATTAATGTTTTAAAATGTCATGATGTATATTTACTAAAAATATTTTATGAAATGTTTTATGGGTGTGATAAATAAAAAAAAATCTTACATTAAAAATACAAAATGCCCTTATCGTCTATTTAAATAGGCAACTACTTAGTTTGAGAAAACATTTTTACAATAAATTTTTTTTTATATGAAACAAAGAAAACCCAATTACATGCACATAAACATATATATTATATAAGTTAGACATAACTAATTTTCTACATAACCTCAAGAAGCTATAACTACTCATAACATAATTTTAAATCTGAAATAAAACAATTTTTATAGTTTATAAATTAACATAAATCGTTTAGTTTATTTTAAGGATACCTTCTTCGAAATTGTATCATATGAAATAAGTAAGTCACCTTATTAAAACAAATGTTAAGGCTTAAGGGATACTTTTTATTCAAAAAATATTATGCAAATCCTTTTTACAGATTAAAAAAATTAGATCGTGTATTTTTAGTTTGAAAATATGGTAGATCACACACTTCATCATTACCATTATTTTATAACATAATATTAAGGATAACCAAAACCTTGAATCGTCAGGATGGGCATAAATTGAACAGATCGATAAATAATTTATATAACATAGTACTTTCCTACATTGTAATATTATATTGTTGTATGCGTATTATACATTTGCACACGTGTATAATTGACCAGTAAATAATTTCTCCACCCATTTTCCGCCGTTTAGTATAATCTATAGGACAGCTATTTTAATCCCGGAGGATTTTGTTGTTGTTTGTATATTTTTTTTTCTGTTGTTTCCCGATTTTATACACCGAGTGCGTATCTGAGTGGAGACTGGAGAACCAGCCAAGTTTAGATTGATATTTTTATAACGGTTTTTCCGGCATATATATTTTATTCTTTTTACACTCTCAAATTATTTATTTATAGATAGAGTCCCAAACTGAATGATTTTAGAATAGTAACGCGTATGATAAAACAGATAATTTTCACAAGAAATTAGTGAAAAATAACTACATAAAATAACAGTGTTGAAATAGAAATAAAATTATAGCAAATTTAATATATATAACTAATATTATGATGATTTTTTTACCCAATCACATAATATTTTAATAATATAAAAAATACTTTTATTCATTTAACGTGTATTATAATTTGAAATTATGATTCAAATTGTAACTATTCTTTCAAATCAACATACAATCAAATTAAACGCGATTTCTGTTTAATGCAGGCGATTGATTTTTAGCACACCGTAAGTATTATAATATCTATACATACATCAAGTACCCACATCAAATTGGACGCATATCTACATTTAATTTTTAGTGTCAAAATTCTATAACCTATATCATCTCATTTTAAACAATCAAGATTTATTTTTCATTAAATTTAATTGTTTTCTAATTTTATAGTTTTGGGCTATAAGTAAGAACCGAATTTATTTTTTTTTTGAATTTGAAGCAATGTCTTTAGAATTGGTAGTTGGTTTTGGAGAAGTTTTGGCAGTTGTAGTTCATTAAATTATATATTTTTGATCATCATTATTATTATTTTGCCTTTTTAACAGCAGCTGCTTACTTAAATTTTAGTACATCAATAATAAATAACAATGTTTAATTCCATCAACAGATTGATTTAATTCAATGGACCATGGTCAGATTTTTTTATATCATTTTAGACTTATCATCATCTTATCTCATTTAGATCCTACTAAAGGCTCTTTGGTCATGCACTTATTAACATTCTTAATTCCAAATGTACAAATGTACAAATCAACAGTGACTAAATAGTAAATACTATGCTTCTTTAAAAAAATAAGTTGACAAAGTTATTAGCAGAATTCAACTTAAACAAATCATCTGACGATAAAATCTAAACAAGTTTTAAATTTTAGGAACACATCGATCGGTAAATGATAAAATAAAAATTAATCAATTTAAGATATTTTATAGAATTTAGAAAATTTACAGTTTTAAGGTAGGAATATGTTTAAATTATTTTTTGCTTGTTTTAAAATTCTTTGCCTCACATTATTTTTAAAAAACGGTTTTGTCATAACATATACCTTAAGGTTAGGTTATCTTAAGTTTTGAATGTTGTGTGAATTCAGGGGCGAACTTAGTGGGGGCAGGGTGGTCATACGCCACCTCCAACAATTTGTTTTATTAATTGTTCAGTCGGTAATTTATGAAAAACTGAAGAGCAGCGCATAATGCAATCAAAAACGCAAACACCAATTTACCAAATTTTGTTGGTACCAAGAGTGTGACCACCAAAGAAATTACCGACCAGTTGACAGTAATGGAGGCCACTTTTGGAAAGCCGGGAAAACTAGAAAAAGATCGGGCAGCTACCTTTCCATCAAGATTTTCGGGAATACTGTTCGGTGAGAGGCATCCACCGACCATTAAATTCTAATCACTATTGGTATGCCGAGGACAAATGGCCAAATTGAGAGACTCAACACAATGATAATAAATGTTCTAGTAAAAATGAGTTTCAAGGAACCAGGTTAGTGGTATCGTCATGCGCCAAGGGTCCAGATGGCTTTGAATGGGTCATATTATCGACGTTCATTTAATATAACTCCATTTGAGTTAGTCTTTGGTGTTGAGATGAAACAACCCGAGAATCAATCAATTGAGGAAGCTAGATAGCACGAATACATGAAATGTCATGAGGAAAAGTAGGAGGAAGATAGGAGGATGGCAAAGGCACAGATTCCAAAGGTAAAGATACAACAGCAGTGTACATTCTTAAAGTTAGAGAGGATGTCATTAACTACTTCATTGGGTACCTAATCACCATCAAGAGCACGTAGTTCTCACCAATTTCCAAGCTGTGCTGACAATTTTTAGGACCATATCGCATAACAAAGCGTGAAGGGAATGAACGCTATAGACAGATTAAAATTGGTTACAATAATGCCCTAAACCAGTGGTCCTCAACCTGGGGGCGCGCCCCCCTAGAGAGGCATGACAAAATGTCGGGGGGAGGAGGGCGTGAAAATGTTGATAAAAATTCAAGAAAAATGAAAACGTATCGTTTACATATTAATATTACGCATACATTAATCTTATAGTAGTGAAAAGGTGGGGCATGAACTCCTAAAATAGTTTGAAAGGGAGCCAGGACCTCAAAGGTTGAGAACCCATGCCCTAAACAGACCTACTTCTGCGCTGAGTACATGAAGCCATGGAGTTCTATCAATCAGGATCAGACCGAAGAGGAGCAAAATGAAAAATATGAGGATGGAGCTTCCTAAGCGAACGCCAATGTGACGTCAATGTGGGAGAATTTGAAATGGCAACCCTGTGAATGACCAAATAAGTCCGCCGAGCACAAGCGCTGTGTTAGGTATTGTATGTGGAGCGGTGAGTCGGTGATATGTGACGATTGTGACGTCCCGTTTACTTGGCTTACATTATTTATGATTGTATTTGGTACTAGTTGTAAATGTTTGTACTGTTTAATTGTTATTTTGTCCGAGAACAATAAATTGTCTTCCATATAATTCGTTGTAACTTTGTTATTCCCCGCGAATTCATACATGTTACTTTGTAAATATTCAAGTAAATGTAAAAAAGTAATTGTTAGACATTTAAATATTATTACTATTATTTACTCAATAGATCAGGGGCACGAAAATGTCAGGGCCATGATACAACTAGCTTTTTTATTAAAGTCATAATAACGTTTTAATATTAAAATAAAATGCCGTATTTTATATTAATTTGTCATTTATATCTGGCAAAGTCAGGTTATATAGCTATATCAAAAAACCATCATATGCATCCATTTCAGCGTAGGTTGGATTTAGTAAAAACGAGTAACGACAAACTAGGTTTAATAACTTTGAAACTTAAGAATTAGTAGTTATACATTTACGTACGCACCTCGATGGAGCCCCAATCCACCACATCCACTTAACCTTACACCATAAAGCCTGGAATAACTTATAGAGAGCTATATTTACGATAAATTATCGTGCGGTAAGGTAAAATATTCGCCTATTACCAGGACCTCTCTCAATTGAGGCATACTTTTTACATAAAATCCAATGTATTTAAATTAAATATAAAATGAAAATCCTAAATGGTTATACCTATATTAAGGAAAAACAACTCAGTATATTTCAATCAGTATACTTCTATATGCAATATTATCTTAACTCGTTTACAAAATGCAGTTTTAGTATCTTTTATATAATATTATAATGTAATTTATCTGTTTATAATGTGTATGCGTATGTAGATAACATATAGGATACCTACTTAAAATATAATATCTCTTCATTGTCTTGTGCATAACAAATTATGATGCAGTCAAAAAGTTACAAAGCAATATATGTTAGTAATCATATATGCGGCATATGTATATTTCTACTTAACTTTCGAAGATTTTAACTTCCCCCCCCCCACAGTTTTGAGGCTAAATAATCAAATTTTATGCTATTTAAGTGAGAACAACAGATTAAATTACTTTATAAACAACATAATTTTAATTTTGTTTACATCAATGTCAAACAGAACACATATTTCCAGAAATTCGCCCTGACTTAAAATGGATTAATTGAAAACATACATTTAGAAACTATTTAAAGATAACAATAACAATTAGTGCACAGTATGAACTATATATATTGAAATGTTAAGATTATAAATACCCAGCTTATCTACCAAAATTGAATAATGTGTTAATAGTTTCACAACATGTCTTACAATATTAGTACCTACCTAAAATTTATATTTATATTTAATTTTAACTAAAAATATTTTTAAAAACCGAAAGACTACTTATTATACTTTCTCCCGTTGATACAAATTTAAATTTTAAATAAAAATGAAAGATAGGTAATTATAACGTGACCACATAATATGTAAATTGTATACATTTTTAACATGTATTATGGATATAATCACTAATGATTCGGTATCTAATAATTCCAATATTTTATTTAAGAACATAAAACCAAAAATGTATATCTGATAGTTGATTTTATATAAATATAAATAAACGTCGAGC